AAAAAAAAAAAAAAAAAAAAAAAAAAAAAAAACAGAACAATACTACGATTATTATTCATCCTATTTATTATATTGTCCATTTAATCGTCTAATTTTGTTCGCAAATTAATAACAATAACGTCCTATTGCACAATCAAAAATATAAATACCTATTCTAAATGTTAGATTAAAAATGCAACACACTAATGTGAGAATAACATTTTTTTATGTTATAACTATTAATTGTGACACATGATGATTATTATTATTATTATTATTAGCATCTTTAGCAGTATTTTACGAGTGATTTTAACGTGTGTCGAATAAATGATACGTTATTTAATTGTTAGTAACAATATTTTCTTTTTTTTTGTTTCGATTAACGACAAAATGCATTCGTTGTTTATTAACAATAATACGAGAATGAAAATTGTTTTCGTCGTTATTATTCATTTATAATCGTCTATTTCTTCTCGAAGTATATTATTCGTATTTACTTTTACACATTTTCTTTTACGCAGATAGTAGTATTTTTTATATGTAGAGTTGATCGAAAATCAAATTAAAAGAAAAAAACAAATAATTGATACGTGTGTTGTGTGTATATATTTTTCACTGCCATTGGTATAAGTGTTTTGAGAAAAAAAAAATTCTAATTAAAATATATATATATATATTCATTATAATATAAACACAACCAGCACATATGCATATGTAAATGTTTAATATATTTGATAAGATTTCACATGAAATATATATGAGATGGGTAAATGCTTTTTTTTAAATAATCCTTTTAACGAGATTTATATATATATATATTATATATAAATATGATTATAAAAATTTAATATATTAAATTATAAATTAAAAAGAGAGAGAGGGCCCACTGCCATTGATTATAATTCATTCCGCGAATAAGCATGTAACAATGATTCGTTGAATGTTTCGGCAAAACCTTTGCTTTGATCAAATTGGAATAAATAATTAAATAAATAAATACAAAACAAAACAAAACAATATAAAAATTGTAAAATAAATGAATAAAGCTTTTCGCGCGGATTTGCGAGTTTATTAAGAGCTGCACTGATGAAACAAATGTAACGGGCATAAAACAATTATATAATTTGCCTTTTTTTAATTGTCTTTTATTTTATTTTAAATATACGAACATAATAATTATAGAATAATTATGCAAAAGCAAAGTATCGATTGTTTTTCCTTTTT